AGTTTTGTCTGGTATAATGAAGTGCCTTTGCCCGACTGTCCCATTCACACAAAAAACAGCAAAACTTTGTGTAGCCTAGCTGCAGCCCAAGTAAAAGTGCAACAACTTTCAAATCGCCACAAATATGCCATTGGTGCTCATCGTATTTTATGCATGTCAATAGGTACTCCATATTGTCATATGATTCTTTCATGTGAAAGATGGTAAAATATTTCCAATATGCACTGCCTTCAAACTCAATGTTGAACTGTCTATAAACAATCTCCATTCTTCTGGGTTATAGTTTATATTTAAAGCCGCCAGTAAGCCGTTAATGTTACTGCACAAAACCAAGTTATTCTCCATATTGAAAAATGGTTCTAAGTCTTTGTGGCTTTTACGAAAAACACATACCGAAACATCCTCTTCTAACAAGTTCCACCGCTGCAGTCTTGATCCAAGAAACTCTGCCTTACATTTTGGAAGTTCTAAATCTCTTACAAGATCATTTAATTCTGACTGTGTTATTTTGTGCAGTTGGTGGCATGACGTGCTCGGTATAGAATCAGGATCTCTTGACGTTGATGGCATATCTTCCTCCTGACGAATCACTCGATCGCCATGATCTGATTCGTTTTCTGATTCGCAAGTGTAGGATTCTGGGGGTTTTGGAATAGGATTTTCGTCACTGTGAGGCACAGGTCTCATCGCAGATGGTATGTTTGGGTAGTTAATAACCGATTTTTTTTTCTTGGACATACCTGTGGCCTGTCCAACACAAGGTTCCATGCAAAAGTAACAATCATTAATATGATTTGTAGGCTCTCTCCAAACCATTGGGACAGCAAAGCGCATAGACCGTTTTTTGCCATTTAACCAGCTCCTCAGACTTGAAGCACATGTATTACAGCGGATGTGGGGTGCTCTCTGTTTGTCTTGATCACCTAGTTTACAACCGAAATAAAGCTGATATGCCTTTGTTATTAGTGGAGTAATAGACCGTCTCTGAGACGCAAAAGTCACATCACCACACACGTAACAAAACTGATCTGGATTGTTTACACACTTTCGAGACATCTTGCATGATCGCTGTCAGCCAACTGAGGAAAAAATGGCTAATATAAAACAATATAATGTACACGTATGTATAACGTAACACAATCATGCCGATTACATCATCTTTCCTTGCTGAATATAAAAATGTAGCACGTGCATTCTTGTGAATTACAGTATATTAACACTGTTACAGCAGGAACACATATAATTACCGTATCTCTGAAACTTGAACTAATATTGACAAAATAAGTTTCATTCCGGTTTTAGCACATTAAAAATAGTAATATTTTGTTGATTTTATTTAGGATATTTTTTGCCTGTTGATCAGTGAATCGGAATTTCAATAAGTACCACGATTACGAATGCTAAAGAAATATCAAAACTCTGCCTAGTTGTCAGATACTTTTGTTTATTTCCCAAATGATAAAGGAACGCCTTTTCTGATCTTTCTATAAAAGCGTTACTTTCAACCTAAAATATATAAAATGCCAAAAACAGTAACACCACACATGGACGATTTTATGCAATATTTTTTGTATAGAGATACGTATTATTTTGTTTGGATGTACATCACGAGAAACTATGTCACTCATTTCCGATGATCCGTCTGTCTATCTGTCGCTCTGTCTGCTAATCTTATAAACGTGTATAACTTGAGGAGTACCGCTGTTCTTACGTTAAGTTCTTAGTCAATGTTACTACTATGCCAGGGACGCAAAAGCTTTGAAGTTTTTGAGAATCGGTACAGTGACGGAGGGAAAAAAGGCCAAAAGCAATAACAAATTCTCTGAAAAACTTTTGTAGGGGTTACAAATTAGCGATTAGGAGTTGCAGGGTGTGGGGAAGGGTATATCAAAGTTTTTTGAATGCCAATGTCGTCAATCACGCGGTATTGGTCATTGCAACGATCATGTCAACCTGCAGTAATTCCTCTCAGTGAGAAGAGGAAGGCCATTTAATTTTTGGTTATACATGCTAGCAACTAACTTTTTTCTCGGAAGTGCTAATTTGTGCCACACATAATTACAAACTGACGAGAGCGTAGCGTGCGAAATACAGAGCCGGCTTACTCGACGCCATACTTCCTTTGTCAGACTCTCGTTTATTTATTTACTTGTTATCCACGATATACCAAAGCCCTCCAATAAAAGTCTGAGCTACATCAGAAAACACGTCAAAATCCCAGGGCTGCCAGACTACTGATTTTCTGGAAGACAAAACGTGGGCATTTACAAGTACTTTCAACACCTGCGTATCTGCTTAGTTGATCAGAAGACCGATTCACTGGTACCTGTTCAGAAATGTTTAGTAAAAATAACCAAATTCTGATGGCTGATTTTTATACATACTTTATCCATCATTATAAAGTAATATTCAGTACTGCCAGACATTTCCCGCTGACCGTAAGTGTCAAATAAAAATCCCTCTCACTTTTTGCTATGAGCGCTTAGAAAAAAATGTTTCAAAAAACAGTTTTAGAGTCAAAATATGAAATTGTTCATGTAGTGTCTTTTTAACAGTAAAAATCTAAATCACACCCTATAATTTTTATATGAAGAGTGGGAATTACTCTCCTAGTACATATACAATTCAAAATGTCAAACTCACTAACTATTTTGAAAGTAGAACGACAGAGGTATCACGAATCTTAAAAAGCGACATTACTTCATTTTTTTGACACTATATAGGTTTTTTTGTGACATTATGTAGGTTTTCCTATAAGATGTCAACTTGAAACTAGTTGTTGTACAGTTGATCTACACTCGTGTCGCTGTACGTGTTGCCTAATGACGCTTGAGCTATCATGCTTTGGCTCTAATGTAACATAACATTTGCTTCAGAGAGGGCATTATTAGATATCCAAACTGTAAGTTATATACAATGCAGGAAGCAAACCAGCTGTCGATATGATTTCATTATACTATTTTACCATATTGTGGGTTGTACAGACTTTACCCCAAATATTCAAACCAACTTCTCTCCAAAAGGAGTACTCAAAAATTTCTCAAGAGAGAAGACTCCTGTAAAATTGTACACCTTATTTTAAGGTTTAATAGATGTTTCAAAAAGGTCAGTGACGTGGAAAAGAATGTGTTTTTTTCCTTTTTTACGTCCCCAAATTTCAGTATTTTGACATCACTGGTGTAGTCTCAGCCAGGAAAATAATTGTATGTATTTACCACGTCGACGTACAAAATTGATATCTTAATCCCCTCCGAATTCTGTTTCGAAGTTATAATTTCAACATCCTGTATCTCGGTAAGGTGACATTTTAAGACTGTTTATGTAAGCCTCACGAATTATTTTTAATTATTGGTCCCGGACAATATGCTGGGCGACACGATAGAAAAAAATTATATGAAAACCGGGGTCTTGTGGCACATCATTTCGAAGATCCTGACGAGTAATTTATGCCCCTAGAATATAAAGTCAATACCTTTACCTACTCCAAAATGGTGGTACATTTAATAATTACCTGAATACATTGACATTTAACTTGATAATTCGAATAAATACGTTGAGTTCAGTTTAGAAGATGCTGGAAATGGTTGCCTTGCACTTCTTGACAATAACAGCCGGTCCGTAATTTCGCGTCGAACATTTTCAAACATAGTAACATCGATATTTCTACAAATATTTTTTATTCTCAGCCGTATGTCCAATATTGAAGCAGGTTCAGTTTCGTACACCTTTTGGTTCAAACAGCCCAATAATAAAAGTCTAAAGGTGTCAAATCTGGCGAGAGAGCTGGCTATTCCACAGAACCTCGACGGCAAAAAATAATTCCTAACTTGTCTGTAGTAGTGTGGTGGAGCACCATCTTGCTAGAATACAATATCGGTATCGAATTCATTATAATTCGCTTCGACGATTTCGGTGGTTAGATTGTCAATAGTATTTTCCAGCATATCCAAATACAGTTCCCCGGTTAAAGTTTGTTCGATGAATAGAGGCCCCACAATATAATTTCCCAGTATCCCAGCCCGACCGTTAATTTTTTGTGGATATTGAGTATGACTTTCCCGGAAGACGTGAGGATAGGTGTCACTCCAATAACGACAATTTTGTCTATACACATTACCGTTGAGAAAAAATGTACATTCATCACTATAACAAATATTTTGGATATAGGTAGAATTATGTTCTTCGATCTGGGTCATCTTCAGTCAGCTGATGTAACATTTGCATTTTGTATGGGTTATACTAATTCTTTTTCAAAAGTCTCCATACAGTAGAAGGACAAACCTCACATACATTCGCGATGGAGGAAGTAGACTGTTGGGGATTTACTATGGTCCTAGCAATTATCTGTACTTCCTTTTCTTCGGGGATGGTGGGATGACCTGGGGGCTTCTTGTTGTTTAGACTACCAGTAGCCGTAAACTTAGATATAAGTTCCTTCAAATATGTTAGATAGGACGATTCGGGACACGATCAATAAAAATCCTTTCGGTCTCGTGAAAGTTACGTGTCGCACCATAAATAAAAATCGATTTTTTCTTCCAATGGACGAGAGTTGACCATTTTAAAAATAGTTCAAACAGTATCTAGCCCTAAAACCGAAAAGTAAATAAGAATCTTTTAACTGTAGAATGATGTTTGTTTTCGTACTGATATTCTTGTCACTGTCAACAAAAAATAACAAAACAAGTTTTTATCGCTGTTGCTGTGGATACGGCAGGGATTTACAATTATTTGTAGAGATATGCATGTTAGTGGATTTATGTTCAAGTAATTATTAAATGTACCACCATTTTGTAGTAGGTAAAGGAATTTACTTTATATTCTAGGGTTATAAGGTACTCGTCAGGAGCTTCAAAATGATGTGCCACAAGACCCCCGTTCTCATATAATCTGTTTTTCCAAGATGGATTGAATTGAGCCGTTCAAAAAATCAAAGAGGAGGGGGACATTAAAGAAAAGCACCGTATAATGTACTATTTCAAATTATGATATACTTGCAGATAGTTGCCTTAGCTGTAATTGGCTCAACCTTGGCAGTCCCTCAGAGGAGGCCACAGGAATACGATGACCAGGGAGCGCAACAACAGCAACAACCACAGCAGCACTTTCCAGAAAGGCAACAGTACCAAGGCAACGAGAGGAGTACCACCTTCATCCCGATAATCAGGTTCGACAAGGAGCAGAGTGAAGATGGAAGTTACAAAGCTGCGTAAGTATTCAGCTACATACGAAAGTCCTCTTGGATGCTGTAAATTGCTGAGAGATGAAAGGATCGTCACCTGGGTAAATAGGGGGTTAGCGTCTTTATGCAGGGGTGTCAAGAATAGCAGACGCAAGGTCAGCGTTCACCTGGGCGTTTATGGTATTGGCACAGCCACCTACAAACGACGAAGTAAAAAAGGGAACGTCGTAACACGTGCGCAAAGTAATCCTATCCGTCAAATTTTCTAAATGTGTAGTAAGTACTGGTCGTATCGTAATTTTGTAATTGTTATTATTAATACAGCCATCTTCTACAGACAGTAGATACAACATACTTGAACTCAATATATACGTAGCAATAGAATAACGAGCTGAATGTCCTCAGAAAAATAGAGAGAAAGTCGTACTGTTTGACATAAGTATAAAAATCAGTAAAGTCTTCAATGGTGTACGCTTTTTAGGTGTTGCTTTTTTTTAAAGGTGTAGATAAAGTATTATTTCTGTATTTGAAAGGAATATGTAGGACTATACTCAAAGATATAAATTGTATCTCACAATGTAGGTATATTTGTTCTTTCTATGTGAATATGCCGTATACTCTACTGAATAAATGTATATGAATAAATGAATAATAAGAAAATCAGATCTTCCAATGATTTATGAAGGTATAAATTATATAAAATTTAGCTTTGGTAGACACAGAGTTGGTAAAAGGCCAAATATGGCCTGGTTCTGAAGCTTTGCCAATACGACTGTTAAAACTTAATATCAGTATATACCATGCGACTATAAGAACAAGCGATACACAAAGGTATGGCCAATCTAATGATTACGTCAGGATCGAAAAATTGTATTCGATTCAAACGCCAAGGCGGAAGTGCTAGCTAAGATCTTTGCTTCCAACTCCACCATTGACTTCCCCCCACCCCAACACCCAAGTGCCGTCAATTCAACGGGGTTCCCTACACTATGCGGGAGGTGACATTCAGTCATAAGACCGTAAGACGAGTGCTCTTGTCGCTCGACATCAACAAAGCTTCTGGTCCGGAATTGATTCCTGCCATTGTACTGAAGAGGTATGCAGCGGAGCTTGCTGCAGTTCTTTCGGATCTTCCAGATTTCTTATGAATCCGGCACCTTCCCAGAAAACTGGAAATTTGCTCATGTCCAACCCATCCCAAAACAGGGATCTAAGATCGACGCTTACAACCTAACAACCTCCTAGCTTACGTCACGCACATCCTAGCGCTCATGCCGTTTCGATGGACGGCCGAGTTCTGCCAAAGAGCCATTCATTTCGGTTGGTCGAATTCCAGATCACCGAGGACCTGATCTGGCACGAGCACATCTCGTCAATAGCTGCAGCTGCTGCGAAAAGGCTAGGCTATTTGTTTAGGGCTAATAAGTACTTTTCTCCGCATGATCTTCTCACTCTATACAAGGCCCAGATACGGCCTAGCCTCACACGTTTGGGGTGCTGCCGCCCCGACTACATTATCCATGTTCGATGCTGTCCAGAGGAGGGCGGTCCGACTGATCGATGACTATTCTCTAACAGACATTTTTGGGACTCTTTCACACCGGCAGGCCGTTGGCGATCTGGCTCTTTTCTATCGCTATACCAACGGGCTTTGCTCCTCAGAGCTCTCTTCCATGACGCCGCCGCGCGATGTGCCTACCAGACAGACCCGCCTGACTTTGGCGTCCCATCCTAACCATGTCGAACTTCGTACATCCAGAACTGGCCATTACGACCGCTCCTTTGTCCGGAGGGTGGAACAATCTACAAGAGGAAGCTTTTCCCAGTTCTACCAACCTTAGGCAGTTCAATCGTATTAACAAAATTTCTTTGGGGTCATCATAACAGCCGCGGTGTTCCGGCATTTATTCTTCTGCCTGCGCGACTGCTACGATATATATAATAAAAAACGACATCAGTACTTGCACCTATACGCCAACAAATACCTTGACACTTTAGTGCTAAAAAGCTTCACTTCGAATTGGGTCTGAATGTTCAAGATTTCAATAGACAACCCTACCTTTTCTCATCTTTTAATATTATCAGTCTTAGATAAGTCTCATTGATCCCAACAATTAGTGGTCTGGTTTTGAAGAAGTACAAAGCTTTTTCGTGCTTGGTACTTCACGAATGTCGTGATTTTATAGGAAGTAATAGAAACAAATAGTAGTGTTTATACCGTCAAACTTTTAATCATAATGCTTACGGAACTTTGTGAGAATACATTCTCCGATAATCGCTTTTCAAGTAGCTAACCACAACTATATCAGAACTTTGGAAAAGAACCTGCTGAACAGAGTTTGGTAGCACCTCAATTTTAAAAAAAGGTAATATAATACCGATACATAAATCAGGAACAAAAACAGATGTTAACAACTATAGACCAATATTAATAATATCCAGTGTAGCAAAGGTTTTTGAAAAAGTTTTATCTACTAGAATGATTCAATACCTCACAAAATTCAAAATTCGAAGTGAAAATCAATATGGATTTACAGAAGGGAAGGCTACATCGGACGCAATAACTAAAATTGTAAATCAAATACATCAAAATATTGATAACAGAATCCCTTCAGTCTGCATTTTTGTTGATTTAAAGAAAGCTTTCGACACAGTTAATCACAAATTATTATTAGAAGCATTGGAAAGAATTGGTTTCAGAAGAAACGCGTACTCACTGATCGAAAGTTATTTGTCAAATCGCCCACAATCTGTGCAGATATCAGGATCATTTAGTAAAGAAATGTATATTAAGTGTGGTGTCCCACAAGGAACTGTCTTAGGTCCGCTGTTATTCAATATATATTTAAATGATATTTTCCAAATTAATTGTGTTGGCAAAATAACTAGTTTTGCAGATGATACTGCAATATTATATGAAGGCACTGACTGGTCTGATCTGACTCTGAAAATGATTTTATCAAAATTATTCGGTGGTTTAACAGTAGAAAATTAAGCACTAACTACTCTAAAACACATTTTTTACCATTTGGATCTTATGCTAGACATCTGCCAAATTACACAAATTTCTCCTTCAATATTAATGATCAAAAAATGCAAATTAATAGAGTGCCCAACATAAAATACCTTGGAGTGGTCTTGGATCCTCACTTGCGATGGGACATCCATCTCAATTATATTTTAAAGAAAGTTAGATTTGCATCCTACAAAATTAAGTACCTTGGGAATATATTGACAGAAAAATATCTTCGAACATTATACCATGCACTGATTGAGCCTCATCTCACGTATGGTATATTAGCATGGGGAGCTGCATGTTCCTCACATATCTATAATTTAGATGTTTTCATTCTAAAAATGATATTTAAAAAACCGAAACTTTATCCCACTGAAAAATTATACGCAGATGTTCGAATGTATGATATAAGACAGCTTTATTTCTTACACAGTATCACTCACTACCATAAATTTGTAAACACCGACCAAAAAATTAAACATAATCATTATACCAGGTACAAAATTCGTGGCACAGTAGTTCCTCAACCGCATAAATCTATAATGCAGCGATCATATCTCTATTTAGCGCCTAAATTTTATGAAATTATACCTAAAGATTTAAAAGATTTACGTTTCGAAAATTGTTTCAAAAGAAATTTAAAAAAGTGGCTACATTCTATATCTAGGACTGAAATTCATAAACTCATAAATACGAACATGAACTAAATACATAATCTACTGTAGCTAATTTTTGTCCTTTTTTGTCATTTGCATTCTACAGTTTCAACTTAAATTTATTGGTCCATGTACAGGCGATGCCTTCTATTGGGCCTGTTTTGATTTTATATTTATTTACTCATATTTTTTGTTATCTTTGTAGATTGAGTGAATAAATATTATTATTATTATTATTATTTCCTGAGAAAGATTTTCACTGCTTTCGGAAACGTAAGCTTATAATCTATTATCCGCAGGTACGAAACCGGAAATAACATAATCGCAGAAGAAGAGGGCTACCTGAAGCCTTTAGGCCTAGACCCAGACGCGGAAGGCCAGTTCCTGAATGCACAAGTACAACAAGGGTCGTACTCATACACCTCTCCGGAAGGACAAATCATCACTGTCAATTACATTGCTGACGAGAAAGGATTCCATCCTTCAGGGGACCATCTTCCTACTCCTCCACCCGTCAGTCCTGAGGTACAAAAGGGACTGGACTTGATATTCGCTGGCATCAGGGCACAACAGGTACGTTCATTCCTACTTATATTGAACGAATGGATACCTTAAACAAAACTTGAAAAATGTGCTCTACATGTAGTTGTTCGTTCTTACAATAAAAATAGATACTCACCCCATTTGAAACAATGGTCATCTTGAAATATTACTGCCTCAGTTCAAGGAACTTTTTTTTTGAGCTTAAAATCTCTGGATGTTCCATTATTGTCTGTTGTCTTTTTTCACACACATGAAAGGAGAATGCCCATTTCGAGATTTAAAATACTTTGTTATCTAGCAATAAAGCCATACTTAAGTCGACATGTAAATCATTTCGAACAAAAAGTTGTAGTTCCACAAAGGTCAGAATTGTATTAGACAAAATATACAAGACGGATAATATAAGGATCTCAACGATAGTAGTTATAGTTATGCTGTGCACATAAGCTGAGTATTTGAAGGTATTGGAAAATGGCGCAACAATAGTTTGCAAATTTTTTTTATCTGTAGCTGCAACTAAGATCCACTTTGAAGTGATGCCCATATTCTTTAATATGGGCCCTAAAATACTAATCTTTTCCTAAAAAAACTTATTTTATTGTTTTTATAGATGTAAAATCTCATACCAATGATTATCTGGTTCCCTCTCGCCAATTTCCTATGCGATAGTTAGCAAATACGGGCATCTGTCGTAGTATGAAAGTAGCTGTAATAATACAAGCATTTCTGAACCTTCTTATTTGAAAAAAGAAGACGCTAACAAATACCTTTTTTTGTGAAGCTAATGGTAATACATTAAGTAGAAATATATACCGCAACCAAAAAAGCAATACTGACGACAACTTTTCCTGGAAAGCTCCTCCAAAATTCCTTTTTACTATCTGGCATACTGGACCTACCGCTTTGGGCAACGTTCCACTGTTTCCCGTTCAAACACATTTGGTGCCGTTCCTTTTGGAAGTGTGGACATTCCCCGAATATGGTTTTCTAAAAAATCTATTTTCATCCATTCTTCATCGAATTGACAATTGTACATTACAACCGATTTGGTATAACTTTTTTAAGGATGTGGTAGATTTTGACACGTAGAACAAAAGAGTCGGTTGGTCCAAAGTTTCTCCAGCAGTCCATTACAACCTGTTGTGTGTGTTCTAATCATCATCAAACTTGAATGGATGAAATATTACTCCGAAGCATAAGCTTTTATGGAATACTGTTCAGGGATCCACCGTTTCATTTGAAAAATGTTTAGGGGCATAAATTTATATCTACTAAGTGACATATAAATCCGAACACCCAGTTTAAATGGTTTTATTTTAATAAAATTTTGTATAAGAACTTAATGAAGCATAATAAGTAAATGATAAAAATTTCAAAATGATTGCACTGCTTTAAAGCCCTTTGACCTTTAATAATGTGTGGATGCACCCTGATGTGCTACGCATTCTCCAACGCGCCTAGGCATGCTTCTGATCAGGTGGTCAATGTCCTCATTCCAGGCAACCACCAACTCCTCTCGAAGTGCTTCTAGAGTCTGAGGAGGACGTTGCAAATTGAGCAATCTCCTACCCATCATATTCCACACGTGCTCAATTGGGGATAAGTGTGGAGATCTTGGTGGCCATGGTAACAGTGTGACATCATTATGTTGGAAGAAGTCTATTGTCACTCTTGCAAGATGTGGTCGGGCATTATCTTGTTGGAAAGTTGGATCTGCCAGGGTGTCAAGATTGGGTAAAATATGGGGTTCTAGAACTTCGTGGATATAACGCTGCGCGTTCATGTTACCTCTGATGAAGATTAAAGGTGACCTGGAACCATAAGCTATAGCACCCCAAACCATAACTCCAACAGTGTGATGAACATGTCTTTCAACAAAAAACTGCGGATTCCTCCTTTCACCACGTCGCCTTCTAACCCTGGCACGACCATCGTGCATGCCTAAACAAAATCGAGACTCGTCACTAAAGACAATACTGTTCCATTCCTGATTCCAGAGTGACCATTGTCTGCACCACTCAAGGCGATTACGTCGGTGTTCTCGAGTTAAAGGGAGGACCCAGTGTGGCCGGTATGAAAACAAGCCAAAGCTTCTCATTCGTCGGTAAACACTTCGCATGCCAATAGGTCTTCCGTGTTCTGCAAACCATTCATTTGCAATGGACCTGGTAGTGGAGAAACGGTCCCTTAAGGCCAATAATCTTAGGCGGCGATCTTCACGATCTGTTGTTCTACGGCGGCGTCCAGTGCCCCTTGCTCTTTGCGTACGGCGTTCTCGAAGCCATGCCTGAGAACACCTAACCACAGTGTCTACACTTCTTTGCACTCTAACTGCAATTGCCCGAAAAGAAAGTCCAGCTTCCCGAAGTCCCACTATACGGCCCCTATCAAACTCACTAAGTTGACGAAATCGTACAGGTCTCCGTACTCTAGGCATCGTAACCGATCGTAAAGCATGTCAAGAACCAAAATTCGCCAACGTTGATTCTTTACTGCGGCTGAAATATTCATTTTTAGAGCGTTAGTGAATTAAAAAAAAAGCAGTATAAAAACCGGAATGTCCAACTGATAAGGATGAAATTTTTTTCACTTGTTATTTACAGTAAGATAAATACATTCACCAACTTTTATTAAAATAAAACAAATTAAACTGGGTGTTCGGATTTATATGTCACTTAGTATATTTCTGGTTAGATATTTGGATAGACCCAAGTACTTCCGATTTTTTTTCACATATATATTTTGCGTAAAACCATAGAGGTATTGCAATCTGCATGTGAACAACTTTATCAGATAGAGTGGAAGAGTTGCATTTTTGAAAGCATTTCCTTAATTTCCTTACATAGATACACTTGATAAGGCATCCTAAACTTACAGCTAGTGTGACTTGAAGATGTGTGTCCTATTTGGAATGTTTCAAGGAACTAGGTAACAACTGAAACTATAAACAACTCTTACTAAAAATTCAGTACTAGGTCTATAAAAAAGGTCGAGGTGCTGGTTGCCATACTTCCTTCTTTTAAGAAAGGATATACAGGGTGACTTCGAAGTTGAGTCATTTATTTTAACAGTGAGTAGATCTGATCAAAAGAAATGTTTTTTCCTTTACCATTTTTCTGGTAAAATTAAAGTAACAAAGTTATAGCCCTTTGGAAGCTTGAGTACCGCCCTGTCTCAATAATAATATTATGTGCTCGTGTTTGGCGACAACGGATATAATTCGCCTTATCGGTTCATCGCATCGGAAACAAAAATGCGAAAGAATTTTCAACGATGCTTTTACAATTATTTCATTCAGTTGTATACAGTCAGTGTCAGTCGGTAGTGGATAGTGGTGTCTGTTGCGTGGCTCAAACGAAATAAAAAATGGCACATGTTTATGCGGATCGGTTTCCCAATCGAGTGCAACCAACCCCTCGTGCCTTTGTTAATGTAGTACAACGGGTTCGTGAATCATTTGACTTAAGACCTCACATATGGACGGCATGCCGGTGCTCCAAGACCTCACGATCAAATACAGGTCCGCACTGAAATACTTGTCGGGATGATACTTTATAAAACAAGGTAAAATATTTTTTTTATTTTTTTTTTATTTTTACACACATATTTTGGTTTATCTTCCTTCTACAATCATTATCTGAAAATTAATGACTCAACTTCAAAGTCACCCTGTATAATTATTCCCTCAACAACTATTATATCTATCCAAATACACAATACAAGTATATGCACCTGTTAAAGAACAACTTTGTTATCCGGGCAGTTAGTTCAACAACCTTCGCAATCTTTAGAGCTCAGAGACGGCACAGGGTGGTCTAAAGTTTTTGAGAAGGCTTGTGACTCTGACCAATATTCTATCCACGAAAGTTTGAGTCATCCGGTACATATATAAAGTTACAATACTGATGAAGCTTATGAACACTCAACTGCTATTTGATATTGTGTACCGATCCCCCACCACGCTATTATATAGCAGGGATAGACAAACTTGGAGACGCCTCTTTTTGGGAAACTACTTGTGGAAGAACTTTGGACCCATGTTCTACGTGTTGATTTCCACAGCATACCGCATTTAAAAAAAAATAAACGGATCAACAGTAAGGGTAATGTAGGCTCTTCTAACGGGCCAAAGAGAGATAGATTTATCCGTAAATAAAAATAATCCACTTTTACGGATTAAACCCTTGTTCCTGGTTACTGAATTGTATTGCCTCTTCAAAAGCTGATGTATGTTTTGGTGGAACATCTGAAATTTATTATGTCGTTTTTATTCTTCTGTTTAAATGAAACCACCCGTCTAGGTACTGCTCTTTAAGGACGTTTCTGCCACCACGCATCTCTAAGGGTATTCGACTAGTTACCTTGATAACAAGGCTATTTTTTTGATAAGTGCCTATATATTTGGATGAATAGAGTAGCTGCTGAGGGAACAATTATAAAATATAGCTCAAAAAGGGAAGTATGCCCACCAGTAAAGTTTTCAGAAACGGATTATTCATTGTTCCTTAAAACATTCTAAATAGGGCACACATCTTCAAGTCACACTAACTGTAAGATTTGGATACATGATCTATGTCACGAGATGTATTTAAAAATGCAGCTGTTTTACTCTGTCGAGATACAGAATGGAATACTTTCATGGTTCTTGGACAGAGTATATATCTGAAAACAAACACTAAGGTCTAAAGGTCTAAAGATAGTGATTTTATGCTCAGAGATTATATAGTGCTGATAAGTAGCTTCCAACTGAGATATCATACGACCTTCAATTCCATTTGAAATAGTATTCCAAAATGTCGTTTAGCTGCATCTTTAAATTTTCAACAGCCACTTTCACGCTAAAGTAAAGTTTATGCACCATCGTGTTACGTCTGAAAGGTGATAAGAATGAGGTGTGTTTTTCTCCACGAAGACTAGGGATAGGAGGTTTAACTCGTAGATTGGGGAACTCAAAACTCTCCACCATGAAGCAAGTTAGTGCACTGCGCAGGGAATGAATTTCAGCTGCTGCTCATAGGGCATCTTTCTTGTGTGGACGCTGCACAGAAAATGAACTTCAGATCCTGCGCATGTGGTATCCCTTTTTGTTCCTGTGGAACAACTCCAATTTTGACAGTTCGGAAAAGTTTCAAGCAGAAACCTTGGATAATATTAATAAACCATAATGTAATAAGCCTACAAAGCATGGCAAAACGTTAGTGAAATGTGCATGAAGATTGCAGCATAGTCATAGTGTCCGCGTATGCGTCATATGCGAATTGAAAACGATAAAGGAAGATTTTCAAAAAAACGGAACGTAGTACTGAAGATATATCGTCCTATTCAGAAAGACCCTCTCGCTACTTATTTTTAGATCTAGTCAAGTCTGCAAGCTGAAATTGGAGGTAACGAAAACCATACATGAGTTCCAAGATGATAGCTTAGCGACAAATTGTAACATTGTCTTAAGGGGAATGGGGCTCATGTACTACCGTCTTTTGAAGCCCCTTATCAGAATTCCACCAGCATAGAACATATTACTGTAGCTATGAATATGGAATGGACTATATCGGCTACATAAATTAAGAATAACATAGGGCCTAAAATTGAGCCCCGAGGGATACCAGAACTAATAAGGTGTTCATTTGACAAAACTCCAGAAACGCACACACATTACACATCACACATTACTCCGTGATCATTTTTACCGAAGGCCTTGGAGAAATCTAGTGATATTAAGCCGACACAGATTATTTTATCAAAGGCCCTGATGATGTTGTCCACTACATTAAGAGGAGCAGTTGTACAACTGTATAATTTTTTAATCCCTGACTTATGTAAGCTCAACAGATCGTAGAAATCGGCTAGGTTCCTGACCTGAATTGCTACTGCTGGTCTTCAATATTCAGAAAAGAAGCGCTCCTCCAGAAGCAGATTGATAATGTTGGTCAAGAACTTGTTATTATAGAAATTTAATGTTGCCTCCCCTGAATGAGTAGAATGAATCACTGATGGAAAGTAATCGTTTACAGCGTTTGGTCCATTGGAGAGATACAGAATACTTTCGGTTCTTGTCTTAGGCCCGTATCGTCAGTCGTCCCTACAATTGTAGGGCGCCTTTATGGCCTCCTTGATTGTCATAGTTGTTTTCTACTTCGTGTCAGCGCTCTATTTTGAGGTTATGTCACAAACATCAATTTGCATCAAATTGTGCTTGGTTTTGAGTTATATCATGTTTTATCAGCCTGAAATTTCCTACAATTTAAAAGGAAAACAAATCTTCGCAATAGGAGAGCGTTGACGCTGACACGGGACAAGTGTAATCTAGAAATTTTTGAAGGAGAGAAAGGAGTATGACAATCAAGGAGGCCATAAACGCGCCCTACAATTGTAGGGACGACTGACGATACGGGCCTTAAACTTCCAATCACCGGTATTCGTGTTACCTAAAGCCCTCCAGAGTTCTTTCGATTTATTTTTCTTTGTAGCTTAACCAGTTTGATACTGTCTTATCGGATTTATGTTTTCTAAGTGCAACATCATGTTCCGCCAGTGGAACTGTCAACCAAGAAGCCTGACGTTTATCGACTCTCACTGTGTTCACGGGTGCGTGAATATCAAATGCTCCTGCTAAAGATATCAACTTCTTCATCGATATTATTCAGAAATATCAGATCACGCCAAACAATTGAGCTTAAATCATCACAGATTTTGTAATGTTTCAAGCTCAATGCATTATCTTCGCATCACATAGGGAAAATGCTCACAATGGTAACACCAAACCAGTTGCGACGGTCAACGGGCAACTGGCCGTGTCGCCATCGATTTGGTGAGAACGCTTGTATTTGAGTACATGTGCCTAGTCGGGTTGATGTTGACTGGCGATCGCCAGTTGCTTTCGGTGAAAACGGTCTCTCATACGCTGGACACAAAAACAAACATAAATCGATGTTAGTTTTTTTTCTTTTTCAGGAGGCTGATGAGCGAGAAGCTAGGGAAAACCCACAAGGGCTGAGAAAGAGGGAAGACAGGGATCCTGATTATAACGGACAGTACCGGCCACAACAGTGAACGGTTCTCTGTGATCCTGTATATTTCATAGACTGAATTCAATTTCATCATCTTCATCATTGATGTACAATTAGAAATATGCCTATGTAAAATTTCTGCACGCATTTTTTTACCTAGAAGTATGTTGAAACATACAATTACGATAATTTTATAACTATGTACGTTATAAGTATCACCTCTGTTACAAATCTTCGTTTGAAATAACTATTTTGAGTAAACAGTATTTTTTTCTGTGATTGCGATTTATTTAATTTATATCTCACCACTATCGTTAATAGTACCGCCTGAAGTGAAGAGTAGAAGTATATTCGCCCTATCGAAAGAATCAATTTATAAAAAATATTTAGATATCAGCTATTGGTAAAAATTTGGAAACAATACATGTAGTGGAAATTTATAAAAGAGTTCTTAGTTAACATCATTTAGCCGTTGCGCCGCCGCCAATGTTTTTCGACTGTTATACGAGTATATGAGGGATGTCTTCTAAAAATAATGTTTAACAAACCAAAATTGTATCCAACTGATGTCTTATACAAAGATGCACATGTATATGATTTAAAACCGCTTTATCTCCTACATGCTATAACCAACTATCACAAATGTATCAATAACGACTAAAAAATTAAGCATAGTCACCACACAAGGCACACACAAGAGGTACCAAGACCAAATAAATCTACAATGCAACGATCATACCTTTAATTAGGTCCAACATTATACATAAATTTACCTGACGATGTAAAGGGTCTACGCTTTGGGAATAAATTCAAGAAAAAGTTGAAAGTTTGGATTTTTTCGTTGGCAAGACAAATTAATAGTAAATTTGATCAAATAATTCGTTGACTAGTAGTATCTGCATTCATATTTCAATAATACAGTTGCAACACCAATGGTCCATGTACAGGCAACGCCTCCTATGGGCCGTTACTCCATTTTTATTTACTCATTCTTTGTATTGTTTTTCAGGGGTAAATGAATAGTACCATTATTATTAATAAGTAGCTTACTTTTCTGGAAACGGTGATTGATTTTTTGAACTACTCAAAGGAACCAAAAAAATTGTTGAACTAGTAATAATAGTACAAGCTACAGGCTTAAAAAATTATATATATATATATATATATATATATATATATATATATCACTTGAGACGTGGTCATTGTCGTTTAGACCATCTGGGGGAAAAATAAAGCTTCCGCCTTTTGTGGGGTACTTCGCCAAAATTCAAGCAAGGAGGACTCTTTATACTTTATTAATCTCTATCTGTCAATGGACTTTGCCATCTTCATCAGGAGAGTCGTATGAGAGATTGTTGCTGAACGTTATTAACGTTTAGGTTGAGGGAAACAACCAGTAACCTGGTGAATGCTGGATACATGGTACATTCGTCAATATTAATATAAACTACACATGTCAGGAACAAATTAAAACGGATTAAAAATACTCAAAACGAAAGTTAAAATTACATCGTGAACCACCTGATGCTTTCAGGTACCCAACAAAAGGCGGAAGCTTTATTTTCACCTATATATATATATATAGATATATATATATATAGGGCTGAAAATGGAAAAGAACATAAAAATAGTAAAAATACCACGAATTAGGTTCTTTTCAAGTTTTCATTGAAATATGACGTTATGAGCGTTTTCGAGGGTGATGCTAGCACAACAATACTGGGGATTATTATAAAACACTCAGTTATTTCCGTCAAGGTATTTCTCACTAGCAGGAACTGTGTGATACAGTCGTCCAAACAAGTTGCTGGTACGATGTTGCCTCGCTACGTAGTTAACTGATTTGGTCTGCTGTAAATGACCAATTTGGATCAGATATGGATCAGCATTTTTTTTTCTATGCCGAAGTTGCTGAATACCAGAGAACGCAGCTGCTATGAGGTGCCTGAACAAACTTTGTTAATTTGATTTTTGACCTGCCTAAAGTTAGTAAAACTAGGAGAAGCCTCCTCAGGCAGATTGCTCCACAGTTTCGACACCACAGGGACAAAGGACCGGTTGAATTGGCTAGCTCTAAATGTACGAAGTCAGGATAGGAGGCCGAAGTCAGGCGGGTCTGTTTGGCAGGCACATCGCGTGGCGGTATCATGGAGGAAAGATCTGAAGAGCAAAGCCCATTGACATAATGGTAGTTAGAGAAGAGTCATCGAGCAATCAGACCGCCCTCCTTTGAGCAGCATCAAGCTTGGGCGGGGCGACACCGCGCAAGACATGTCGTCAGTACTCAAGCAAAGGTCTTATCTTTGCCTAGTGCAGAGTGAGGGGGCTATGCATTGAAAAGTACTTCTTAGCCCTAAGCAGACGAGATGTGTTCGTGCCAGATCAAGTCCTCGGTTGTTTGTACCCCGACCAGCCAAATTGAACTAAATTGAACTGCTCTTTGGTGAAACTCGGCCATCCATCGAAACCGAATTAGCGATAGGGCGCTTCTTGTTCAAGGTACAGTACTGTGTTTGAAAGTGTTAAGCTGTACCAGATTGTTGGGAAGAACTGGCTCCTCCTATTGTCAATTTCCTCGGCTTTCACTCTATCGCTGCATATTTCTAGAAAAAAGCATGTTTATAAATTACTTTCCAATTTAGAAGTTAATACCTTTTCTAGAACGTCAACTCTTCCAGATGGGGTGAACATTGATTTGTAATCCTAGTACTACTAACTGCCACCATGCTGAGCATCTACAACTAATGTACTGACATTATAGAAGACTATTACGTATATCATATTATGTCTGAAACGCCGGTGATGACCGATTCAAAGAAGGTCGAACAAGCATTAGAGCATAGAAAAAGTAAAATGGCAGGGGAGCAGAATAGTGCGAGTTATGAATAACTCCACATTATTGAACTGGTATTCAGAAAGATTCCACTCATCAAAAAAGAGATGGGCACAATTGCGAGATATTGTCCTCAACGAACTTGGGAGAAATTACAAACAAGCTGAAGAGATTTCGAGGAATGCACCACATCTGTCACGCGGTTCGAGAAATAGAGACAAAGCTAGAAGACAATGCGTATTATAGAAATCTGGCGACTCCAATCCTATGTTGATCTTGGTGGTAGAGAGGGCAACGCTATAAACGAAATTACCGAATCTATATTCAGAAGCCTATCGACCGGAGATCTGATTTATAAGTATGCTTTAAAGAGCAAGTAAAAAAATGTTTAGAAAAATTATGGCTGTTCAAATGTTTGGCTTGTTTGGTAAGTACCTCTCCTGTACTGGTACTACAGGGTTCGTCTGGAAAGCTGTAGGGCGGCTACGGAAGCGATGGGATGCCGGCCTTGGTTAGGTAGCTGTTCACTAGAAAGGCGGTGTGAGCCGGGACGTTGTCGTGGTGCAACTTCCAGTCCGCTGTGATGTCTTGTCGGACCCGACTGACCCTTCGTTTGAGTCTCTTGAGCACTTCCTCGTAAAACTTTTCGTTGACCTTTTGTCCAGGAGGAACACATTCATGGTGGACGATGCCTTTGATGTCAAAAAAGACAATGACCATCGTTTTCACTTTGGTATTCCCTTTTTTGGGCGGGGAGACGCCGTCGTGTGCCACTCGGAAGATTGCCTCTTTGTCTCGGGATCATACACAAAGATCCACGACTCGTCACCTGTGATTACGTTATTCAAAAATTGGGGGTCACTTTCACACATGTTCGAATTTTCTTGGCACACTTCCACTCGCCGCAATTTCTGGTCGTCAGTGAGCACTTTTGGGACCATCTTCGCGCACACCTTGCACATGTTCAAATGCTGTGTCACAATATCATGAACCACAGATTTTGGTAAATTTAACATCTGGGAAATTAAACGAATACTTAGTCGACGGTCTGTGTTTAAAACTTTGCGCACACGAGTCACATTATCGGTGTTTGTCGAAGTCGAAGGTCTTCCAGATCGGTCTTCATCAGCGACCTCTTCCCGGCCCACGAAAAAGGCCTGGTGCCACCGAAACACACCACTTCTTGCTAAAGCAACACCTGGATAAGCCTGCTTGATCATATCAAACGTCTCTGTTGCAGATTTACCGAGTTTCACACAGAATTCAAACGCGTACCTCTGCTCTAACGAACGCTGCATTTTCGGCTTGCACCACTGACAGAAACTAGTCGCGCGAAAATGCCTGTCCTGACTCTCCAAGTGCACGGAGACAACTGACCAGCCGCTCAGTTGTTAGCTAGGAACGCGCACGCTCCGAAGTACAGTCATGACGGAAGAGTCCTATTACTTTCCGGACAAACCCTGTATGTAACTTTAAACAGTTTTATAATATTCTGAGATATGGAAGCGACATTTTAGTAGTAGCTATATCCGGCTGCGTGTTATCTAGTACTATTTTACTTGCTAAGTACGGCTTGGTCTTATACAGAGTCTGTCAGAAAGGACTTCACAGGCAGTTATAGGGAGAATGAAGTACGCTTAAATGTATTTTAATCTACCACACATGTTTTTCTGATCATTGGATCTTATGCATAATGGGGAGACTGCGTCACTTGTTCTCCCGCAAAAGACTCGGGAGCGACTGTTCTCTTACTATTCAGCAATACAATTTTCTGAAAAGTAAGAGAAACAGGCCTGCTTCCTCTTAGTTATTTTACTCCTCCATTTTCAATGAATTCAGCATTTTGCCAAATAATTGAGTCATGCTTTTAAAAGCAATATGTATTTCTCAGCAAAAAGAAGAGTGACAAGGGAAACGAAGATAAATAATAGGAAAATGAAAACTCCAGGCCTGCTTAAAAGTCTTGAATTTGTCGATATGCTTGAAGCATTGTTATAATTTTAATGCTGGTACCACTATTGCAAGGCTTACTTAATCACATTTTTCAATCTTAAATTGTGAGGCATTTCTCTTCCTATGCGAATAATGGTAGTGATGTATGCTCACGTTACCACTATATTTAATTCACTTAACTCAAGGAATTGAAAAGTTGATCCCTAAAAATTTTAATGGAACTACTCATCAGTGCTTCTGTTATACTATCACCATTGCTATCACAGAATGCTTCAGCATCATTCACTGGCTTTTTTATAGATATCCAAACATTTCAATATTAAACTTAAAATGTACACGATTTTGACCAAAAACGGAAAAAATTCATCAAATCGAGACCAGCCCTGGATTTATCAACACTCCGTCCAGTTCTACGTTACTCCTGGGCAACCTTGTTATCGTACAAAATTTCAGTAGAATCGATTAGATGGTGCCTGAGATAGATGATGTTGAATATTTGTCGTATTTAGATACAACAGCCTGTATATCCGTCAGAACTAAATTTAGAGCTTGTTTATTTTCAGATATTAAACTGACTTGGTCCATACTACCCCCTCTTCACTATGTCCATTTAAGTCTGGACCACCCTGTATAAGTAACCCCACGTGTAAAACTATTAAATTTTATTTACGTTCTCCATGATAAAGTCGACAAAAGATAAACGCAATTGCTTGGTTCCTTCAAAGGTGCTCTGTCGTTTTACATCCCTCACGAAAAGCTTTACTTTTATGTTCCTTGTATAATAAGTGACATATAAATCCGAACACCCAGTTTAAATGGTTTTATTTTAATAAAAGTTGGTGAATGTATTTATCTTACTGTAAATAGCAAGTGAACAAATTTTCAGCCTTATCAGTTGGACATTCCGGTTTTTATACTGCTTTTTTTTAATTCACTAACGCTCTAAAAATGAATATTTCAACCGCAGTAAAGAATCAACGTTGGCGGATTTTGGTTCTTGACATCCTTTACGATCGGTAACGATGCCTAGAGTACGGAGACCTGTACGATTTCGTCAACTTAGTAAGTTTGATAGGGGCCGTATAGTGGGACTTGGGGAAGCTGGACTTTCTTTTCGGGCAATTGCAGTTAGAGTGCAAAGAAGTGTAGACACTGTGGTTATGTGTTGTCAGGCATGGCTTCGAGAAGGCCGTACGCAAAGAGCAAGGGGCACTGGACGCCGCCGTAGAACAACAGACCGTGAAGATCGCTGCCTAAGATTATTGGCCTTAAGGGACCGTTTCTCCACTACCAGGTCCATTGCAAATGAATGGTTTGCAGAACACGGAAGACCTATTGGCATGCGAAGTGTTTACCGACGAATGAGAACTTTTGGCTTGTTTTCATACCGGCCACACTGGGTCCTCCCTTTAACTCGAGAACACCGACGTAATCGCCTTGAGTGGTGCAGACAACGGTCACTCTGGGATTAGGAATGGAACAGTATTGTCTTTAGTGACGAGTCTCGATTTTGTTTAGGCATGCACGGTGGTCGTGCCAGGGTTAGAAGGCGACGTGGTGAAAGGAGGAATCCACAGTTTTTTGTTGAAAGACAAGTTCATCACACTGTTGGAGTTATGGTTTGGGGTGCTATAGCTTATGGTTCCAGGTCGCCTTTAATCTTCATCAGAGGTAACATGAACGCGCAGCGTTATATCCACGAAGTTCTAGAACCCCATCTTTTACCCTATCTTGACACCCTGGCAGATCCAACTTTCCAACAAGATAATGCCCGACCACATGTTGCAAGAGTCACAATAGACTTCTTTCAACATAATGATGTCACATTGTTAAAATGGCCACCAAGATGTCGATGTTTTCGATGCACATCCATTAGGGCCTGATGAAGCCAGTAAATAGAAACTTACGTCGCTCGGATTACTTATTCTCCCATTTCTGCTCCCAATCCTTTAATATATACTAAGTGACATATAAATCCGAACACCCAGTTTAAATGGTTTTATTTTAATAAAATTTTGTATAATAAGTACTTAATGAAGCATAATAAGTAAATGATAAAAATTTCGAAATGATTGCACTGCTTTAAAGCCCTTTGACCTTTAATAATGTGTGGATGCACCCTGATGTGCTACGCATTCTCCAACGCGCCTAGACATGCTTCTGATCAGGTGGTCAATGTCCTCCTGTGGTATCTCATCCCAGGCAACCACCAACTCCTCTCGAAGTGCTTCTAGAGTCTGAGGAGGACGTTGCAAATTGAGCAGTCTCCTACCCATCATATCCCACACGTGTTCAATTGGATATAAGTCGGGAGATCTTGGTGGCCATGGTAACAATGTGAGATCATTATGTTGAAAGAAGTCTATTGTGACTCTTGCAACATGTGGTCGGGCATTATCTTGTTGGAAAGTTGGATCTGCCAGGGTGTCAAGATAGGGTAAAAGATGGGGTTCTAGAACTTCGTGGATATAACCTCTGATGAACATTAAAGGTGACCTGGAACCATAAGCTATAGCACCCCAAACCATAACTCCAACAGTGTGATGAACATGTCTTTCAACAAAAAACTGTGGATTCCTCCTTTCGCCACGTCGCCTTCTAACCCTGGCACGACCATCGTGCATGCCTAAACAAAATCGAGACTCGTCACTAAAGACAATACTGTTCCATTCCTGATCTCAGAGTGACCGTTGTCTGCACCACTCAAGGCGATTACGTCGGTGTTCTCGAGTTAAAGGGAGGACCCAGTGTGGCCGGTATGAAAACAAGCCAAAACTTCTCATTCGTCGGTAAACACTTGGTAATAGGTCTTCCATGTTCTGCAAACCATTCATTTGCAATGGACCTGGTAGTGGAGAAACGGTCCCTTAAGGCCAATAATCTTAGGCGGCGATCTTCACGGTCTGTTGTTCTACGGCGGCGTCCAGTGCCCCTTGCTCTTTGCGTACGGCCTTTTCGAAGCCATGCCAGACAACACCTAACCACAGAATCTACACTTCTTTGCACTCTAACTGCAATTGCCCGAAAAGAAAGTCCAGCTTCCCGAAGTCCCACTATACGGCCCGTACCAAACTCACTAAGTTGACGAAATCTTACAGGCCTCCGTACTCTAGGCATCGTAACCGATCGTAAAGGATGTCAAGAACCAAAATCCGCCAACGTTGAATCTTTACTGCGGCTGAAATATTCATTTTTAGAGTGTTAGTGAATTAAAAAAAGCAGTATAAAAACTTAAAAACCGGAATGTCCAACTGATAAGGCTGAACATTTTTTCACTTGTTATTTACAGTAAGATAAATACATTCACCAACTTTTATTAAAATAAAACCATTTAAACTGGGTGTTCGGATTTATATGTCACTTAGTATAATTTTAAAAACTGTAAAAGAAGTAATCCAATGCTACGACAGTAAAGGACGATAGTACAAAGTATTAGATTGCCTTCAAGAATGAATTACAGATTTAGTATGTTGTACTTTTTCATTACTTAAAATCAATATTATTCCGTTTAATTCAATAACTTACACTGTGTCAATATAAAACGGAGACTGGCCAATTCTCATAATTGATAAATGATTTATTAGAAATATTAATAATTTGTTTCGGTGAAGAGAGCCTATTGCGCTTAGACTTAAAGAAATACAAAAATGTTTGCATAAATAATTCTGTTTATTTTTGCAGTTGTATCAACGCTCAAAGTACACTTTTTAAATACTTACACAGCTAACATAAAGGTAATTAAATTAGAATTTAACTTAGTTTTAGACTAACTTCAAATAAATAAAGACCTAATAGCTACCTTCTTCGTATCGTCAACGTCCAGATCTATATATATAAACACAAATCGTTACAATTTCGTTTGAAACTCCTCATCTGGACGGAGTCACTGCATAGGAAAGGCTTTCATTTCTATTTGGAACACAAACTCTTACAAAAACTAATTACCTATCGTGAAATATCACCCTGTATATCCACTTCTACCAAGTTAAGCGACAACCTGACAAAATGGCTGATGCATGCTAGGAATTGCAGGTTCCTTAAAATATAATAATGATCACACAGACTTGACATTCATTACTCACTCGTCTTGATGTTATAGGGATTATAATGCTTGACTCTGAACATCTCGAAGAGCCCTTATGATACTATGTGAGACAAATCGCATGGCAAACTTACGATGCAATTGAATCTGCTACACTTGATGAATGTAATTCACTATGGTTGAACATTACAACTGCCTATCTCTTCTATCATAGTTAGTGATTTCCATGACTCGAGCATTATCATCCCATTAGATTTGAATGTCGCAAAAAGAAATGAAACACAAATGTATGGCAAATCAAGAAAATCGAGTTATAGTGGTAACATTTAGTTAGTCTTCTACTTTTTGTTGTTTTCTTTGGATTTCAGTTGATATTCAAGCGCCCTCTTCAGAGCAGGATGTAAGTGTGCTGCCGTAGGAATGAATCCGTTTTCGTCAGCTGTGTATTCAACTTCGTAGATGATGTTGTTGGGTCCTGTGTACTTGTAGTAACCTTGAGCGTTGATGGTTTCATCTTCTGTACCTTTGTTCTGGATAACGGCATCTTGGGCTCCAAATATCTCGTTTTCAGTTTCGAAACTGTAAGAAAAAAGTGTACAATTGTTACTTTTCCTTGTGTTTCTTAGCCTTAAGGTTTTGACAAACCGGTAACATCATTGCTCTAAATTTTGAGATATCTGACCAATCGAACCTTATACAGTGATCACGTAGTGCAAGTATTGCACTTCTATGTGAATAAGTGTACCTGGTAAAATATGAGGCAGATTATGAAAAGTACCATAATTGAACAGCTATTTCAAAGAGCGTTGTTAGGTCTACACAATTCTGAACATTTGATTGGACACCATATTACGTTATGCAATGCTAATGTAATGTAATTAATAATGGGTTGTCCAATAGGGACGCAGGAGAGTAAACGTCAATTTGACATAGACGCCATCTTTGTGTTCTGTCACCGACATGTCATTTTGTTAGTTGAATGTTTACCATTGATCGCTATGGAGTCGTATTCGATTGAAGACCGCATTAAAGTTATTCAAGAGTATTAAAAAAAAATAAAAAACACGTTTCGCGCGCTTCGTGAACATTTCGGTCGCAACAACCGCCCAAACGAAACAACCATCGGTCGTCTGGTGCGTAAATTCGAGGCAACAGGTTCTGTGGCAAATCTGCCAGGCTCTGGCCGGCCAAGGAGCGTTCGCACACCGGAAAATATTGCTGTTGTGAAGGAGAGTGTGAGAGACGATCCGAAACAATCAACAACGCGTCGATCCCAAAAATTGGGCATTCCGAGAACCAGTTTGAATGTACACGCCTACAAGATCCAACTGACGCAAGAGCTGCGTCAGGCCGACCATTTTTCGCGGCGAACGTTCTCAGATTGGCTCCTTGAACACCGCCAAATTGATGCCAATTTTTCATCAAAAATCATGTTCAGCGACGAAGCGCATTGCACTTTGAATGGGACGGTAAACAAGCAAAACTGCCGCATCTGGGCGAACGAAAATCCCCGTGAGTAACAAGAGCAGCCGATGCATCCTCAAAAAGTGACTGTGTGGTGTGCATTGGGGTCAAAAGGCATCATCGGATCTTACTTTCTTGAAAATGCGGCCGGGGACGCCGTTACCGTCAATTCTGAGCGATATCACGTGATGATAGAGGACTATTTTTTGCCGCAACTTGAAGGAATGGATATGGACGATGTTTATTTCCAACAAGACGGTGCAGCATGCCACACAACCAACGCCAATATCCATCGATTGCAGTCCTTCTTCGGTGATCGCGTGATTTCGCGCAGAGGAAATGTGCCATAGCCACCAAGATCATGCGATTTGGCTCCCTTGGACTTCTTTTTATGGGGATATTTGAAAAGCAAAGTCTACGTCAACAAACCAGCCACCCTCCAAGAACTCAAAAACAACATCATTGCCGAGATAAATGCCATAGAACCGAGCATGTTGCAAAATGTCACTGAAAATTTCGACCATCGCGTGGACGTCTATAAATCCAGTCGTGGTGAACATTTGAGCGATATTATTTTTCATACATAAATGGTATAAATTAGCCTTCAAAATAAAGTACCCAACTTGATTTGAATATCACTCTTTCTTGTTTTAATATGCGTTTACTTTCCTGCGTCCATTTTGGACAACCCCATATAATCTGCCACGACGCGAACAAGACTAGAGTTGATGAAAGTTTCCAGTAATTGAAAACCTCTAAAGCTTATGCAACCTGGCTCAAGATTGATTAGATCTGGAACAAATGTGTTTTTTGCGACTACCTATACATTGGTACTGCTTAAAGTAACTTTGGCCTGGTTATGTTTAAGCTGAGGAACAATAAAGGTAGAGCAGTAACCAGAACGCAGAACTCTCTTCTCTGGAATAAAAAAATTAAAAGCTACAACGAAAAATCTATGTAGTAGTCTAGTCAAAAGTGTAACCCTCTACGGTTCAGAAATATGGGATGTTACCAAGTCCAACAGAGATAAACTCATGGCGACTGAAATGGATTTCTTTAGAAGGAGCTGTGGACGATCAAGACTCGAAAGAGTCAGGAACGATGACATCCGAATGCAGATGCAGGTGAATAGACATATACACGTAGACATAGAAAAAAGGCAGCTAACTTGGTTTGGGCCTGTAAAACGTCTGAACACGGACAGATGGCCCAGAAAGGTTCTAATATGGATTCCACCAGAAAAAAAGGAGGCGGAGTCGGCCAAGAAGGAGCTGGCGAGATGACACTGATCAAGCGATGACCACGAGGCACTTAGAGGAAGACGAGGTTTTCGATAGGAAAAAAAGGAAACTGGGGACGGCGAGACGGGAGCAGCTGTAAAAAAATCCTTTTTAAAAAAATCTTGAAGCTGACCTATGATCATTGTCCACCAGAACCTTCCTTATTCTGTTGTGAGTGAGAAGCAACTACAACTACCGAAATAGAGGTAGTAATAATAATAATAATAATATTTATTTACTCTAAAATACAGGGAACATGAAACGAGTAAATAAATATAATATATCCATAGGAGGACAACGCCTGTGCATGGATCATATGTATGTTGAATTGCAAAATATAATAAAATAGAGAGAAAAAAGAAATTATTGGTAAGAATGGTAGAGTATTTATTGTGTAATATTTGAGATTATTTTATTAATTTGATTTCTCCCAATCGTGTTAATAAATTTTTTTAATTTTTTTTTTGAAGCCTAATGTATTGCGTAATTGTTTTAAATTATTTGGTAAATGTTCGTACAATTTTGGAGCTATATACAGGTGACATCGTTTCATTAGGGATTTGTTTAGTTTAGGAACATTTTTTGCGCGTAATTTATATCTGGTTTTATGATTATGTTTAATTATGTCGTGTTCACTAATAGTTTTGTGATAATGAGTGATGGTATGTAAGAAGTAAAGTTGTTTAGTATCATATACTTGTGCATCATTATATAAGTCATTAGTTGGGTATAATTTTGATTTGCCTAACATTGGTTTTAAAATGTTTTGAAGTACATCTAAATCGTTAAAGTATGTCGTGCATGCAGCACCCCACACTACTATACCATATGTTATGTGTGGCTCGACTAAAGCTTGATATATTATTCGTAGATAATATTCAGTTAATAAACCGGTTAGAAATTTTATTTTATATGCTATGAATCTAATTTTCTTTAGTATGTGAGAAATATGTACATCCCATCTCAAGTGGGGATCTAGATAAATTCCTAAATATTTTGTATCATTAACTCTATTGATTTTTATATTTTTATCATTTACCTTAAACCGAAGGTGGTTATATTTTGGTAGATAATTATATAGTGATGAAAATGGTAAAAAATGAGTTTTAGTAAAGTTAATTGTTAATTTTCGGTTATTAAACCACTGAATAATTTTGCAAAAGTCATTTTGGATAATATCTTTTAAGTCGTTCCAATCCTTACCTTTATAGAGTATAGCAGTATCGTCTGCAAAACTGACTATTTTACCAGTACTGTTAATTTTGAATATATCGTTTAAATAAATATTGAATAACAGAGGACCCAAAATTGTACCTTGTGGAACACCACATTTAACAAACATTTCTTTACTATACGAGCTTAATAATTTTACTGATTGCGGTCTATTTGATAAATAATTTTCCATTAAAGTATACCTCTTTCCACGAAAACCTATTCTTTCAAAAGTATATTGTGGTTAACTGTGTCAAACGCTTTTTGTAAGTCCACAAATACGTATATCGATGGTACTTTTCCATCTATATTTTGGGTTATTTAGATAGAGTTAGTGGAGTTAATTTGTCTAACAATGAGTGACACTTCTAGAGTTATCCAAATAAATTGGAGAAAATCACAACAATTCCTTATGTACGGAGCATTTGAGCAGATCACGAAGATTCTGTAATTTAAGCATGCAGCTGTCATAAAGTCATGCATAAATACCTGCAATACTACTACGAATAATTGTGGTGGTTATTTACACCAGATTATACTCCACCACATATTAGCTTTAATACGACCAATAAAGATGCAATTTTATTCTATTCGTAGATAGAAAAATGTGTTTATTTAATTCTTCCTACTCATTTGGCGAGACTAGGTCTTTATGTATTGTGTACCAATCAGAGTCGAGTTCAAAAAGATGAAAGTGGTTAACATTTCTTTATAGAAAATGCATATGATCTTGCCAGGAACTTTGACCTTGAAACAATTATGTGATTACATCAGTAATGCAGCGTCACACGATTGAAACCCGGTGAAACTAAATTTGGAATTTTTCAGCACACAGAAGGTGAATAGCTTGTTCTTCCAAGGCAGATACAAGATAAGTATTTTGTTCAAGAAAAGGTGTTGATAAAATATTTCATAAGGAAATCGAGAAATATTATAATCCAAACTTCTCTAATAATACTACACACTTTTTCTGACTACCGATTATACGTAATTTTTGAGTGTTCTACAGTGAAGCTTGGTTTTCATTTTAAAAATCATGTAAGGTTTCACACAGTTTTTTCGATCAAAATCTTTGACGCAGCATTGACAATGCCCATGTCTATGGCATTTTTTCTCTTTCCATTGACAATCAAATCTACTCTAGACGCCATTTAGGCTTTTGTAAATTGTCTGTTTCAGATTTTAAAATTTCGTAAACAATGGTATAATGTAAAACATCGCCAGAGTCAACGTTGCAACCTATCATTCTTGAAAGGGACAGCAGGAGTTACTTACGAAAAATGGGCTATCTTTATTATATTTTTAAATGTTAGTCTAGAAGCTTTAAGAGACTTTGCAGATGGTAGTACAGTGAAAGCTCTCCTTGCGGACAGCTCCTATAAGCGGAGATCTCTTTTAACCGGACAAATTTCCTGGATTCGAATTTCAGCCATCAATTTTCAATGTTAAATGCATTCCGATAAACAGACGCTCTTATAAACGGACGCGGACACTAGATTTTCCTGTATGTGATCAAAAAATCTCCCATAAGCGGACGCGAAACTCTAATACCCGGACGATTTTTTAGTTCCGCTTATTGCAATGCACATATCTACATACATAAAATTCGGTAATTCCCCGATTTATATTAGGTGATTCCCCATTTACGCATTTCGTTGGGTAGCCTGTATGTAATCTTGTGGCTTGTCTTCAGTTCAGGCAAATTCGTAGTTGATTGAGTTACGTATTTTACTATTGTAACTGTAAAATGGCACCAAAAAAAAAGGATACTCTCGTTAAAGGAAAAGATGGAAGTTATTAACGTATTAGACAGAGAAAGTGTTTCAGTTCGTCATTTGGCAAAGAGGTTTAATATTGGGAAAACGCAAGCAGCTGAAATTGCCAAAAATAAGGAAGATATCAGGAGTAAATGGCAATCAGGAACTAATATAAATCAAAAGAAGGATTTTTTAAAAAAGGAAGGTTTTGCTATAGACAAAACATGTTTTGAGTGGTTTGTGAAAGCTAGAAGTCAGAACATTCCAATCTCAGGGCCGTTAGTGAAAATGAAAGCTAAAGAAATCGCCACTACTTTGGGCTATAATAATTTCAGTGCGTCCGACGGGTGGCTGCAAAAGTGGCGCAAGAGACATAGTGTGAGTTTCAAATGAATATCTGGCGAAGCTGCTGCAGTAGATCAAGTTGATGTGTCACAATTTTTGGAGAAACTTCCGTCCATGTTGCTTGGCTACAAACCAGAAGATGTGTACAACGCAGATGAGAGTGGACTTTTTTTCGCGCATTGCCCGACAAAACTCTGTCCTTTAAAGGAGAAACATGTGTGGGTGGAAAGTTGTCTAAAGATAGACTAACCATTTTATTCTGTGCCAATATGGCCGGTGAAAAATGCGATTTGATTGTGATCGGGAAAGCGGCTCGTCCCCGTGCTTTAAAAAACGTTGCTATTAAGGATCTACCAGCGACTTGGAAATCCAACAAAAAGGCATGGATGACCCGAGAAATCATGTCTGAGTGGTTAGTCGAATTCGACCGGAAAATGAGAATCCAAAAAAGGCAAGTTCTTTTATTTTTAGACAATGCATGCTCTCATCCTCGTGATATGAAAATGAAAAATGTGAAAATTATATTTTTACCGCCAAACACAACTTCTGTTTGTCAGCGCATGGATCAAGGTGTCATACAGAACTTTAAATTTTATTATCGGCACTTGATTTTAAAACATATTTTAACAAAAATTGACGATGGTCAAAGCTTATCTGAGCTTACAAAGTCTATCAATGTGTTAGAAGCTTTGTATTTTATAAAACAGCATGGAATAAAGTAAATTCCTCTACAATTAAAAACTGTTTTGGCAAAGCTGGATTCAGAGAAAGTGAATGTAGCTCAGAATTTGCTGAGCAAAATTATTGCGATGCTGAAGACGATCTGCCCTTAGCGACACTTGCTCAGTTACTGCGACATGCCAAACATTTAGGAGTAGCAGATCCCCAGAAAGTAGATGATTTCCTGGCCATAGACAATAACATAACAACAGAAGAAAATGCCATTGGCAACTTTTCGAATTTGGATGTAGAAAGCCCAGGCCAACTTGAATATTGTAGTCCAAACGACTCAGAAGAAGAAGTGGAACTGGTGGACTCACTAAGCGGTTCAAAAACGATAAATTCATATGGGGAAGCTCTAAATCATATTTCTATATTGAAAAAATTTGCTAAAGATGATTTCACTGCATTTCAACATTTGAAAAATTTAGAAAGTTATTACGAAAATTGTCTCCTTCAGCTAAAGATGGTGAAATTTCGTCAGACAAACAATTTAAACTTTTTTCAACAAGCTAAAGAATAACGTTTTTTTTAAATTCTCGTACCATGTATTGAAGCATTTATGTTTTTGTATGCGTATATGTACATATATTATATAGATATATAGCATAAATACATACTTTAAAAATGTGGCGAGTTTCTGTTTCATTTTTCTCATGATTATAATACCTTATTTCCTCATGATTATATACCCCGTTATTTATACTCTATACTTACATACTCTCTTTTAAACGGACACCTCCCATAAGCGGACAAAAGTTACGGAACCGTGAGTGTCCGCTTATGGGAGCTTTCACTGTACTATTTAAAAAATAGGGAATTACAACCCCTACTCTGAGAGATCTACTAAATAAGATGTAATCTAAGATTGCCTGTCCAAGACTCTCAGTACAGAGGAACAGACTACCCAATTTTTCTTCAAAGTTTACCTTCAGCTTTGGTGAGCAGTATAACCACATGAAATTAAATATTCTGAATTGACTACACTCCTTCAAACATCGGAGAAAACACTTCTTAAAGAATGCCGGTAAAAATTTCCGACAAAATTAATTGTAGTCGGCATCGGATTCCTTATCAATATTCATGGAATATTAGTAAAATTGACAGCTCCTAACTCAATGATTCATCGACAAGTTGATATATTAATTATTTGAACATCAGGACTTGATCGTTGCTATTACTTTTTTCAGTAACTTTTAACCGTTTTCAATTAATAAAGTACTTCTCAGAAACAGTACATGAAAATTATTCGGATTCGTCCTTGTAGAAGCGCAAATTCATTGAAGCTAGGAATCATCAAAGAGTTATAACCCACACTTTTGTACGTTTGTTGCAACAGGTGGCCTTTAAAAATATATTGTTATAATTTTTCCCAATTATTCCCAAGTTCAATTAAAATCGAATGACATCGAAAGTTGACATACGTAAGTTTTCGGATAGTTGCCCGAAGGTTCAACACTGGGGTGTGTTTGTGAATCAGTTGGTAAAATAATACCGTACACGGTAACGGAATGTGGATTGGCAGACGCCGAATTATTACAGATATGTAATGAAACTTGATGACAGCTAACTAATTTCTAAACACGTTTTCTGCGACCATCGTACTTATTATAACAAACGATATAGATGCGCGTGGTTGCCCAACTAACGTGAAAACAATACGGGTGTCCGCAAAGTTGGGGTTTTCCTTTTAAAAAACAACTACCCTTGAAACAACAAAGGTGATGTGTAGTGAAACGAGGGCGACCAAGTAAAAAAAAATAAAGGAAAAAGTACTCACTATCCAGTTGACGAGAAGGGCTAAGTACGTCTCTGCCCGAAATCATACCGCTCCAACAGAAAATGAAATCAGCTGATGCGCTACCGAGCAGACGCCGGCGGTGGTGCAGACCACGAACAGAGGTAACAAATATGACCATAGTGCAGAAACCACATTGATTGTCTTACACTTAACGGCACATCCTCTAACAAGGAAGGCAAAATGTTGCGTAAAAAGTCTAGGTATTGCATCCCGTCCAATCGATTTGGGAGAATAAATGGTATAATGAGCATACCGTTCACCATGCCAGCCCAAACATTCACCGAAAATGTTTGATGAAAATGTGCCCGACGGACAGCGTGCGGATTCTCTACTGACCAAACATGAGTGTTGCGAAAGTTATTCACCCCATTACGCGTGAACGTAGATTCGTCTGTCAAAAAAAGCACTTCAAAAAGTCCGGATTATTGTCATGTTGATGCAACAACCACTCACAAAACCGCACTCTTGCTGGAAAATCGTCAGGTTGAAGGGCTTGTACACGTTGGACGTGAAACGGATACAGCCCCTCTTCACGCAGCGTTTGCCACACTTTAGTTTTTGATACTTGCACTTCTCTAGCCACGCCTCTAGTGCTTGTTCGATTATACGGGTTCGTTTACCTCTACACGCGTGACCGTTACCGTCGGTTGAAGGTTGCATACTGACCTGACACACTGACCCCGATCCAGTTCTGTCGTCGGGTTGAGCTAGTGTCCTAGTACCACTCGGGGATGTCGCGGCTACAGGACGGTATTCAGATATTTTTTATGTTGCAGAGCCCTTTATCTCGGTTCCCTTAAGACATTGGTGTATATGGTACTAAGAAAAATTGCTTATGTTTTCAAGATCTACACGTCGTGTAAAGGAAAACCCCAACTTTGCGGACACTCTGTATATTCTGCCAATGTTTAACACTTGATAACCAAGTAAAACAAACATAAAATGAACCATAAGAATGGCGAGTGAAAACACTCTTAGTCCTAGGTTTTGAGTACAGTAAAATGATATTTTTGTATCAATGTACTTGTTTTTGTTGTACTTTGTTTGAAAATAAAATATATACTTACTCGTAGTGATATCCTTCTTTGTTTTGGTCGTTGATCAGGCGTAGAATCCTCCACCTGCTGTCATCAAAGGTACCGTATTTAGCACCAGGGAACAATCCGTATGGAATCAGGTACTGTTTTCTGATCACTGTAGCTTCTGGTTTGTATGGCACTGAAAACGATATATACTAATAAGTAACGCATACGTTTCTTTGAATGGTACTTGCAAATGAAACCAAAATACAGGAATGGTGGGCTTCACTGTTTGTGAACCTGTTTCTTTTTGTGTTGAGAAAATTTTGTTCCTTGCTAACCGTCTTCCCACAAAAGTAACACAGTTCCCTAAAAATAACCTTAAGCATCACCTTCAACAGGCCTATATCTTTCATGATGGTTCAAGATGCTTGTAGAGTGTTAAGAGCTCTAGGTTCATTTATCCCGCAGAACAATGTTGCCTTTAAGGTAATATGCAGTGCAATGCTTTTCAAGTTGCAAATTTCATAACAATTTTGGATGGTACAATCCACCCACAAACTATAGTATACCATATAATCAATATTTCTCTTCATAGTGACCTACACCCATTGTATTTCAATTGTGATTTCCATGTCTATTTTCAGACGATTATACTATAACAAGGTGTTTTGCTGTAATATTGTTCAAATAACACGTGGAAAACCTGATCCATTATCCTACCAACCCAACAAGGTCCATGAAAATGTATGCAAATGATCTGAATCTTCGTGGATATAATGGTTTCAAATGAGTCATCAGTGTATGTATTGCATAACTATTGCAACAACAGAACTTGCTATATTCTTCTAAATGCCAAAATGTCGTGCATTTGTTAACTTATTACCCCAGGAAACTACAGTACGAACACCATTTCAGAATTATGGACAATACAACAAACAAAACTATGCATAAATATACAGTCCTTTGGCATTCACGACTTACAATTGCCGGTCTGAAGCTTGACCCAGTGACGAAGGTGTAATATTTCGTGTCAAGAGATATACAGGGTATCCCAGAAGGCGACGTCAAGCCGAAACCGGGTGATAGGCAAAGTCATAACAGCTATCAGAAAAATATTTAAAAAAATTTTATGTATGTGTTTTGAAAATTATAGGTCTTTGAAAAAATATAGAAATTTCACACCCTACGGCAGTCTGTCAACTCCTGTTACTACAAATATTAACTTTTTTTGGATTTTATTTTTACAATGTAATGATGAATAATGCATCTTCAAACTGGTGTCTCAACCTTACTGCCAACTTTTCTCGTTCAGGAAAAATTGCCACTTATTTCCCAACCAAGAATACCAAAGTAAAACTTTGCTCAACTTTAACTGGCTGTACTGGAAAAAAATGTACTACGAGAGTTTGGCAAGTAACCTTAAAAGTTGGCGCATTTAATAAGGATTCCAAAATGGTATAACACTTAGAAGATTACTCGTTAACTTATGCACAATTTTTATTTGAAAAAAAACTGATGAAAATTTTTCAAAATTTCCTAATTAAACAGCGATTATGAAAACGCACAAGGACCCTTAAGGATAACTGTTTGCACAACAGTGGGCGTCAAAATGCTGCTGATGATGATTTACCTTTACAGCAAATGCTCAAACTGTTTTCCTTCAGCCGCAATACACGCTCGACATCTTCTTAAAAAAGATCGGGTTATTAAACGAGCGAATCCACGGTTATTAACAAACTCAGCTGCTTCCAATAGTCTTTGCCGTAGCTCAGCTACATTTTGAATCGGCTTGAAATAAACTTTTTCTTTTACAGTTCTCCAGTAAAAAAATCTAAAGGATTCAAAACAGGTGATCGGGCTGGCCACGGTATTGTACCAGACCGCCTTATCCATCTGCCTGGAAAGTTTTGATCCAGATACTCTCTCACTGAGAGTGCATAGTGCGCTGGGCAGCCATCATGCTGAAACCACATGTCCCTGTAAATACTCAGTGGCACGTCCACCAATAAATTTTGTACATGATTTTTCAAAAAATCCAAATAAACTTCAGCAGTCAAAGTCTCTGGGAACTCAAACGGACCGATTATTTTACCATTTAAAATTCCTGTCCAATCGTTTATCTTGAAGCGATATTGAGATTTATCTTCTCTCATCAAATGTGAGTTTGCTACGTGCCACTCGTGTAAGTTATGCAGGTTCATGTACCCATCTTTCTTAAATGTGGTCTCATCCGACCATAAAATTTTTTCAAACAACTGTGGATCTTTCCTGTGTCTTTCTAACATTGTGCGACAAAAAGCAACTCGGGGCTGATAATCCAGCCAGCCCGGTCACCAGATTTGAATCCGTTAGTTTTTTTTACTGGGGAACTGTAAAAGAAAAAGTGTATTTTAAGCCGATTCAAAATGTAGCTGAGCTACGGCAAAGACTATTGGAAGCAGCTGAGTTTGTTAATAACCGTGGATTCGCTCGTTTAATAACCCGATCTTTTTTAAGAAGATGTCGAGCGTGTATTGCGGCTGAAGGAAAACTGTTTGGGCATTTGCTGTAAAGGTAAATCATCATCAGCAGCATTTTGACGCCCACTGTTGTGCAAACAGTTATCCTTAAGGGTCCTTGTGCGTTTTAATAATCGCTGTTTAATTAGGAAATTTTGAGAAATTTTCCTCAGTTTTTCTTCAAATAAAAATTGTGCATAAGTTAACGAGTAATCTTCTAAGTGTTATACCATTTTGGAATCCTTATTAAATGCGCCAACTTTTAAAGTTACTTGCCAAACTCTCGTAGTACATTTTTTTCCAGTACAGCCGGTTAAAGTTGAGCAAAGTTTTACTTTGGAATACTTGGTTGGGAAATAAGTGGCAATTTTTCCTGAACGAGAAAAGTTGGCAGTAAGGTTGAGACACCAGTTTGAAGATGCATTATTCATCATTACATTGTAAAAATAAAATCCAAAAAAAGTTAATAGTTGTAGTAACAGGAGTTGACAGACTGCCGTAGGGTGTGAAATTTCTGTATGTTTTTCAAAGACCTATAATTTTCAACACACATACATAAATTTTTTTTAAATATTTTTCTGATAGCTGTTATGACTTTGCCTATCACCCGGTTTCGGCTTGACGTCGACTTCTGGGACAGCCTGTATAAGTAATAGAAAATGTTTGAAAGTTTTATAGTTCTTGGATTCTGATGTCCAACTTGAAAAGTTTTGAGGATAAAGGGTGTGAAAATACACTATTTTACATGTATGTAAAAAATATTGTACCGGTTAATATTGTTGCAACATTTCCCCCTGCCTTAAACAAAAAAGGTCGCGAAACACGAATAGTATCAAATCAAGGTACATGTTGATTATGAATAATTGCGAAAAAAGGACATTTCGCATATTGAGTTTAAAGTTACACCACCAGCGTTCATTCCAGGAACCTGAAAATAGCTTCTAGCGATTTCTTTTGGCCACTTCTGTCATTTTATTGTCAACCGATAGGTCTACATTGAGTAGCTGCTGAGATTTAGCCAGCATCCTTTGTTAACGAACCATCCAAAGCAAGGGATTGTTCAGTTAGGACTATTTACATTCTATACATCTGAATTATTAAATTTTATTTTCAGCCTTATCAGTTGGACATTCCGGTTTTTATACTGCTTTTTTTTAATTCACAACGTTGGCGGATTTTGGTTCTTGACATCCTTTACGATCGGTTACGATGCCTAGAGTACGGAGACCTGTACGATTTCGTCAACTTAGTGAGTTTGATAGGGGCCGTATAGTGGGACTTCGGGAAGCTGGACTTTCTTTTCGGGCAATTGCAGTTAGAGTACAAAGAAGTGTACACACTGTGGTTAGGTGTCGTCAGGCATGGCTTCGAGAAGGTCGTACGCAAAGAGCAAGGGGCAGTGGACGCCGCCGTAGAACAACAGACCGTGAAGATCGCCGCCTAAGATTATTGGCCTTAAGGGACCGTTTCTCCACTACCAGGTCCATTGCAAATGAATGGTTTGCAGAACACGGAAGACCTATTGGCATGCGAAGTGTTTACCGACGAATGAGAAGTTTTGGCTTGTTTTCATACCGCCCACACTGGGTCCTCCCTTTAACTCGAGAACACCGACGTAATCGCCTTGAGTGGTGCAGACAACGGTCACTCTGGGATCAGGAATGGAACAGTATTGTCTTTAGTGACGAGTCTCGATTTTGCTTAGGCATGCACGATGGTCGTTCCAGGGTTAGAAGCCGACGTGGTGAAAGGAGGAATCCACAGTTTTTTGTTGAAAGACATGTTCATCACACTGTTGGAGTTATGGTTTGGGGTGCTATAGCTTATGGTTCCAGGTCACCTTTAATCTTCATCAGAGGTAACATGAACGCGCAGCGTTATATCCACGATGTTCTAGAACCCCATCTTTTACCCTATCTTGACACCCTGGCAGATCCAACTTTTCAACAAGATAATGCCCGACCACATGTTGCAAGAGTCACAATAGACTTCTTTCAACATAATGATGTCACATTGTTACCATGGCCACCAAGATCTCCCGACTTATCCCCAATTGAGCACGTGTGGGATATGATGGGTAGGAGATTGCTCAATTTGCAACGTCCTCCTCGGACTCTAGAAGCACTTCGAGAGGTGTTGGTGGTTGCCTGGAATGAGATACCACAGGAGGACATTGACCACCTGATCAGAAGCATGCCTAGGCGCATTGGAGAATGCGTAGCACATCAGGGTGCATCCACACATTATTAAAGGTCAAAGGGCTTTAAAGCAGTGCAATCATTTTGAAATTTTTATCATTTACTTATTATGCTTCATTAAGTACTTATACAAAATTTTATTAAAATAAAACCATTTAAAGTGGGTGTTCGGATTTATATGTCACTTAGTATATATATGCTGATGATGTACAAATGTATAAAGCTTGCAAGCCAAATGAAGTTAATTCATTGATTAAAGAGTTAAATGTAAATCTAGAAATGATTGCAAACTATTCCAAAAATTATTGTTTGAAACTGAATCCCACAAAAACTAAAGTTTGCTGCATTGGTTCTAGGTAAAATAGTTCAAAATTTAAAGGGTTGATGAGTACAGCCATTGTTTTAGGTGATACATCTGTTGAAATTGTAGAGGAGACTAAGAATTTAGGCATTTTGTTGGACACAAATTTAAGTTTTGAGAACCATGTCATTAATAAGCT